CTCCAAGCGCTGAGGTAAGCGCTTTCGCTGCTATTCTCGTTGTCTGAGTCAGCTGATTGCTTTGTTGCTGCTGCTGCTGCGGTGCGGCCCTCGTGTAGTGCCTTGTAGAAGCCTGCAGGCTTCAGTTCTCCTCTTCTCCGTTGTTCTGCAGGTGCAGGATCGGGTTCTAGAGGTTGAGGAGGGTTGAGGACAGCTGGAGGAGGGTGTTGGATGTTGTTTGGAGGCGGCTGGACAATGGGATTGGGATGGATGGCGTTGGGATGGATGGCATTGGGATGGATTAGATGAGGCTCAAGTTGCGGCTGGGGTGATTGTGGCCAAACAATTGTTGGTGCATCGTCAACAAATTCATTTTGTAACTTGCTGATTGGTTTAGGACATTTTCAGAGTCTTCTGATGGGTCCACAAAAACGCAAATGTCGTCGTTGGCATTTTGGCCTGGAATAATGTGTTCGTTCGGATTGAATATAACATCCCATTCTACTGATACGGTGTGTTGTTCTGGCCAGTAAACTCTGTGACCTTTTGACTCATCATCATGACTAATCCATTTTCCAGCCTTTGCGTGCCAATCTAGCTTGCCTGCGTCAATTGTCTTGACATAGACTGTACATCCAAATTCATGCGTTTTGCTAAGGTTTGGTTTTGTACCGTAAGCTTTTTCATACAGTGTTTTACCATCATTTGCTTTGGTAGGTACTCGATTTTTGATCCATACAGCGTGCTTTAACGCCTCGCTGTTGATGATGAGAACTGTTGTTAGAAAACCACACACAAAAACAAACTAACACACAATCCTCCCAGATTCCACGGAACTTGTTTATGGGCTTTGCCTCCTAGAACAGTGGAGTGGTCTGGTTGTTTGTGGGGTGGTACATATAACAATCCTTCAAAGTAAAACCCAGAGATGTATGAGTGTGGGTTTCGAGGAGGAGGGATAGTTGAATTTATAGAAGATAGGGGCTTAGTGACAAGTATAGACGAGCACTACCTTGCTAATTGTAGCACAAGGTAGGTTTGAGAACGACAAGGATGACGAGGTGAAGAGGTTCCCAGTGATAGCAGGCTCCTGACGCACAAACTGTAGTGCTCAGAAGGACTCTAATTGAAAGGGATAAAAATGACTTCAAAAGTGGGAAGTGACAATGACAGCAATTAACAGTGGTAGCAGTGGGAAGTGTTGTGACCACACTGGATCACAAGTAGCAGTAAGAAGTGGACTTAAGATTAGAGAAGAAGTCTGGAATCGAGTTCTTGTTGTGTTTACAAGGTACAATACAGGGGTTTATATAGTAAAAGAAAAGTAGGCTATGCACAGTATAGCTGTGCAAAAAGAATGAGAAAGAACATGAAGGAAGGAATGTACACTGATGAATCCTGCGTAGGTAATACAGGATAAGATTGTCAAAAAAGGAAAAGAAAGGGATAGAACAATAAATGCTGTGAGTAATGTCACAGGTTTGTACAGCCATAAAGTAAAGTCCAATAGCAAAAAGAGAGCAGGAAAATCATGATGTCATGGGCAGATGCAGTAAAAAAAAGGGCAAGGCAAAACACTATCAGTATCAACACAGTTCCTTTATTGTCAGTCAGGCATTCTAAAAAATATGTGTCCATAAAAATGATTCAAAAATCAAAAATAATCGCACTGTAAATGAATGTTCTGCTGAAAAAAAGAAAATGGAGCCACCGGTCCACCACCTAGTCCAAATCTGACAGTTCCATGGCCTTACCAATAGACTGTGTGTGTTGGACCACCTGGTCAAACGAGGGAGGGAGAGGAGTGGTCCGAATTTGGAACAAGTGAGTCCCAGGCAGCATGTGGTAGGTGTAGCTGTAGCGAAGACAATGGACAAAAGATAAGTGTACCCAAGTGAATGGGACAGCAATGAACATGGGCAACGCAAGGGGATGAACCTTCTCCAGCTCAAAAACTACCCACCCACGCTCCAACCAGGCAAGATGAGCGACCAATGTTTTGATAGTATATGATGGTAGATTGACGTCATAAAGATGGACCTGTTGCCCTATTTGAACTGGCCGCCGGGGCTTTGCTGATATCAGCAGTGGCACGTGATAGTCAACGGATCAGCGACGGAAGCGGATAGGAAGTGGTGACATCAGAAATGGTGGGGGAGCAAAGAAGATGAGGAGGAGGAGGCTGGAGGTGACGAGGAGGTGAACTAAAATGGGGATCCAGAAACGACCGTCGGGTGAGAATAAGAACGAGAGTAAGGGGCCCATGGTGGGGCTAGGCAAAGGAAGGGAAGTGAAGGAAACGACAAAAGCAAGGGCACAATGCAATGTGTAGCCAGTGGCGACGTGAAAATTTGCCGAAATGCCGAAATGCCGAAAGTACCGAATGGAAAAGCAAAGGTGAGCGTGACTGGATTGCCTAATAGAGGGGGTGCTGATCAGCCACAAGTTTGAAAAAGGCAATATTAATTACTATTCCATGTGGCACTGTGCCTGTGTGGCGCAAAGGCGAGTCTTTTTGAATATTTACTTCATGATTGACACCTGTCCATGCTACCCATCAACTTTGGTGCATAAAATTGCCCCATAGCGTTTTAGGCATTCTGGCACCGAGTAACATGGCCCTAGCACATTCAACTAGTGTACAGTTTAGACGTTCTGATACACCATTTTGTTGGGGCGAGTCATGAGTGGTGAGTTCCCAGATAGTGCCTTGTTTTTGCAAGTGCTGATCAAAATTATGGCTAGTGTATTCGCCACCTCGGTCAGATCTGAGGATTTTGACTTTGACTCCGTCTTTTTGGGTGTCGAGCCAGGCCCCAAAGTCTGTGTTTTTTTGAAGGACTTTGTCCTTTTTGGCCAGTAAACAAAGGTGGGTTTCCTGGCTGTAGTCATCTGTGAGTGTTAGTATGTAATGCTTTCCCTTTAGGTCTTGGACTATAGCTGGTCCTCAGAGGTCCGAGTTCATCCTTTGACTGTAAGTTTTGGCTCGAGTATAGCTTATTTTGGAAATGGTTTTCTGATTGTTTTTGCATGGATGCAGGTTTCACAGAAAGCTATAGCTTCTGAGTAATGAAGAATAACTCCTTCGCTAGTCCAGAATCAATGAGGTGTTTGAGCAATTTATGAGCTATATGGCCCATATGTCGGTGAAAATCATTGATGGATAGAGTGTTTGTGAGATAGGCCCCTCTTTTATGATTCTCACTGACACCAGATATGTTATATAGGCCTTTTGATTCTGGTATTCGAGCTATGGTGCGACAACCAGGTGGGGGCGAGTGAATCTCGCATATGCCTCCACCTATGTGGACAGAATATCCGGCCTTGTCCATGCGACTAGCAGATATTAGCGTTGAGGCCATTGTGGGACAGTGTAATGTGTCTTTCAATATGACACGAGAGCACTTGTTTCCATTAGATAGGTTGACAGTGACGTCGCCCTTGCCACAGGCATACATTATATCACCATTTGCTGCATTTATGGGTATAGGATCAATTGGAGTGTATGATTGGAATCTGTGACGATCCGGGCAGAAGCGGTCTGTTGCACCACAGTCAAAAATGGCTTCATTAGCGCTATTGTGAGTTTCAGCTTTGTTTGCTGAAGCTGTAGCCTGTGAACTGACAGCAAATGCATATATCTCGTCATCCTCAGGTTTAGCAGCAATTGTGGCTATATGTGCAGTAGCTACAGTATTGGCTGCTTGTGGGGTTTGCGGAGGATTTGTCTGATTGTCCTTAGGTTTGATTTTGTTTTTAGGACCATGACCCTCTCGGCCTCCGCCAGGTGCAAAGCATCTTTCAATGGTATGGCCCATTTTAACAGGACATTTAGGATTAATAAAACTAAGTGAAACTCAGCCGCTACCCGAGAGGCTATAGAAACGACTTTATTATTTACCTAAGTGAAACTACAATAGATGTTAGTTTAAGGTGATCTCTAATAAATGTAATGTAACATACCTCAGCCGCTGCCCGAGAGGCTATAGAAACGACTGAGGTATTCCTATACTAAACCCCCTACTACTTATAGTCGGAGGTGCTACTTGCTACAGTATAATGACTCCTAGGAGTACAATTGCGCTCCTAGGAGAACAATGGTTACTCCATGGAGTGGTGGCTATGCTCCATGGAGAACAATGGCTGCTTTGGCAGAGACTGGGTTTATCCGGTTTTGTCAAGGATTGCTACATTTGTATCGCTTGTGCAGTTCGGCCTTGCAATCCTTCCAGCTTGATTTGGCCATCATGGCTGTCATGGATTTGGCTTGGGCAGAGATGGATCGAGTATCCACTTCTTCAGTGACATGGGTGATTATGTCTGAGGATGAAAGCTGATTTTTGATATGCAAGCAGCAGCTAGGATCAATGAGAGTAGCGGGCGATAAGAGTCTGGAAGGGAGGACAACAACATAGCAGAGAAGTCTTTCTCCTCGACTGTTGCTCCCATGCCTGCTAATTGTTCTCGGAGTGTTAGCATGTCTCCTATATGAGTGCAAATATTGGTTGTTTCCAGTGCACTTCATATTTTGTAAGCGGCATCTGATGTCAATCTGCATCACCTCAGTTTTGCCTTCATGCACATGGCATATTGCAAGCCATATTTTAGCGGCCGAACTCTTGTCCTGGATTTGGATGAGAGTTCTGTCATGTATAGTTGAAAAGAGCTGTTGTGTGACGAGACATTCTTTTTGAGTGTAATCATCAAATTTGTTTTCATAGGTTTCTATGTCTTCCTCCTTAAGAGTTGTGCCGTCGGATTTTGTAGATATGCCATTAGAATCCCTTGTATATATAAGAGGATCAGGCTTTCGAGCAGTTCCGGACAAGTGTCTGGTTAGACCTCGGGCACCGACAGCCACAGATACACAAGACTTGTATGTTACCCAATTGGAGCCATCCTTGGCCAGTTTGGGTACAGTGAATGTCGAAGCTGTAGAAGACATGTCGAGTGAGCTGGCAGGGCTCATAACCTGTGAGGCTATGAGAAGACGTAGTTCGCAGACCACTACATTTGCATATCTACGTTATAACATCTGTAAGAGGCGTGGAAGATATTTCCTCGTTATCTTTAGATTTGGCTGGACCTGACTTGAAGGTGGCCCATCGTCCGTCTCTGATATGCCCCTTGTTGAGAAGTGTCTGCTTCACATTTGCAAGGTTGATGCCTTTTAGTTGAGAGGTTACGTGGTCCAGAAAGAATTTGACTGAGACTGATGTCTGTATTGGAAGGAGGGAGGTTGAGTGAAGCGTTTTGTGTACTAGTAGTCTTATCCAGGCCTGTAGCGACCTGCTCCGAACCAGTACCGGAGATAACGGCCGGCAATTCGGGGCTAACCATATGGGGAGCTTATCTTCACGCCCCTGAATTTTCTGGAGAGATAGTGACGAGCGCAACACGAACAGCGGTTCGAATCACCATATAACACGCAAATGTGGACATGGATCGCATCACCTCTCACTCACCCCGCCCATCCCTCACAGAAAGGACAAGTTCGCAGCGGTCCCAGCGGTCCCTCTCGACTCTACGTGCAGTTATGTCGTCGTTGTCTGGCATGGACTCGCCCTTGAGACTCGACAGAACGAACAGCAACAACGGTAACAATCAGAGGGAGCAGACCGAGGGGACGATGAGGACAAATGGCGTGCTCGACGGCCACGATGTAGCTCACCCCTTTCCTTCACCGCGCGATGATTCACCGTTGTCCAGAGCAGGGTAAGCCATCTCTATATTTTACTCAATTATGTATTCTCAATCACCCTATGATCAACTTACCACATCCTTCTTCAGTTTATTACAGCCAAGAAGCCATGTCCCCTCTTACGCACGTTCACTTGTCATGGCCCATTCCCAGGGTGACATTCGTACAAATACAATGCAGCTCTCCAGCTACGTTGTTTCTTCACCCCTCAATCCTGAACGCGACGACTTCATTTTTCCTTCAGCTGTTCCCAATAGTGATAACATGCCACCGCCATCCGCATCTCCTCCTGCTGTTTCGTTCGTTCCCGCCACGTCTTTCGGACCCGGTACTTCCTTTGCCCCGTCGTCGCATCTCTCAAAAGTCAGCTCAGACCTCTCCTCATCCACCTCCACCCTTTCTTCAGCGGAAAATACGGCAGATAATGGCGTGCGCGTAGCTAACATAGACCAAGAGCACGGCCGTGGAAATCTCACGCCAAGGGGTACCAACATTCACATACAACCGGTCGCTCCATCGGGTCTCTCCATCCTCCTTGCACGTCACGCGTCTGGTACCTCCACACCAACGGGGACTCGTTCTAGAAGCAAATCGACTCACCGTTCTTCAAGTCCCACGCCGACCGCGGAACATCCACGTACGCACCTTCCTGAGCGCGTCGTTACCGGGTCAAGTGATCTTGTCGCGTCTCTGCCCGAGGGTCCTCGACATATCTATGTCCAGGGTCAGCACGAGATTCCAACTGAATCAACGCATCTTCTTTCTGGGTCTTCTTCGCCAGGTGTGCCCTCTGGACATGGCAATGGAAACGGCACATTGAATGCTCATCCTGCCTACGTTAATGGCAACGGCGCTATGCGCCCCTCCATTGCATCTTATTTAAGTCACCCGAACAAGACCCCACATACAATGTTCGATCGCCTTCAGGGTTGCTTTTACTCGATCACGGGCCCGCAGTCCGATTCCGTAAGAACAGTTGTGGAGCGGATTGCGTCTACAGTCACGAGGTCGCTTCCTGCAGTCACTCTAGGGGTGCTTCTCAATGTTCTTGACGGCGTTTCGTGTATGTGTTTCTACCTTCCATTCAAACCACATTACTGATATCTCCGCTTTATCATTATGCTTCTCTGGGTTCTGTACCTGTCTGTGTTGCTATGACGCAATTTTGGTGCTCTGGTGACATGTTGATGCAATACGATTACCGATGGTCGCAGATGGCATGATCATCTTCCCAGCGTCTGGTATCTTCACCAGTTTTGGTGGAATGGGCGTATCGATGTTTTTTGTGTCGTGAGTTGTTGTTTCTGTTTCGGCGGATATCCGAGGTCTTATTGCTGATGTTTTTGCACTCTTTTTCCCATCATCTCCACTCTTTTGATTTTGAAATACATGATCAAACCGGACGACGCTTCTAACTCCTGTGCTGTTCCTGTATGTTTACCAGGACGGTTATTTCGCAGCTGGTGTATACCTTTGGGGGTAGTGGATTTGCGGGTGCCAATGGAAGCATGATGATTGAAGTTGTGGTGAGTATTCCTGTTGAACTGGTTTTCTCTTTCACTGCGCAGAATTTCCATTTCGCATAGATGGCAGCTATTCTTCATGATACTCTTGAAGCTGTGCCGTTTCTCCCCCATACTATTCACATATCACTGAAGAAGAAGATGCTGATTATATTCTCAGCCGTTCTTCCACATTCTAGCCAACAGCATTGCGGGCCAAATAGGCGAAGAAAATGTTCGCGAAGTGATGGCAACTACACTTGCTGCTTATGCGCTCTCTTCCATCTTGACTGGTAAGCGTACATATGTTGTTCTTGTTCCGCATACTTTACACCCTTCGCCGAATTCGTGTGTTCTGTCCTTGATCAACGTAGTTGGACGTTTTTAGATGATATAAGCTGCTCTTCGATAGACAGGTATCTGACTTTATACACTTTATACGCATATTCTTTAGACCATACTTCGTTTCACGCTATTGGCATGTAATATTCTTTTTTTTCAAAATCGGCTCATTTCTATCTTAGCCCCTCTTTCCACAACTAATCATTGTCCACCCCTTAGGCTTGTCGTTCTTCCTTCTTGGCTGGCTACGCTTAGGTGTTCTTATCGGATTCTTTCCACGGCATATATTAGTCGGGTACGTTTGCTACTGACTGGTTTAGATCTTCTACCTGACACAGTACATATGAATTATTCACTGATGCATGTCCATAGCTGTATCGGTGGCGTTGGAGTGTTCCTCATCATAACAGGGTTAGCCTAAGAATTCCAACCTCAACTTATTCCGAAAAATGATTGCCTGAATTGTCTTACCCTTACTAGACTCGCAATCAGTACACGCATCTCTGACGATGAACTCACACTCACACTTTCCACACTCCGCTTCTTTCTCCTCAACACGCATTCTCTCACTCTTTGGGTCCCACCCTTCTCACTCGCAGTTCTCCTACGCCTCATCACGATGAAATGGAGACATCAGCTCGTTTTTCCACTCTGTAAGTGCTTTTTACTCGGCCTTGCGAGATATTTGGCAGGAAAGAGCAACGGTGACGAACATTACTTTCCTAGACTTTATAGCCATCCCGACAGGTTTCTATATCATCGTAGCCGCTGCTCAATTGGATCTCGGCGTCCTCAGAAGGGAAGGGTGGATTTTTGAAGTGGCCGAAGCTTCTCAAGATGTATCGTGGTACCAGTTTTACACATATTTCGGTACGCACCCTTTCAGAGATAGCCGTTGTTTGGTGGAACATGAAAAATCTGTTGATATTGATGCATTAACTTGACCTCCCTGTTAGATCTCAAGGCTATCCGATTTGGGCCTCTGTGGTCGACGCTACCAACTCAGTTTGCGCTGTGAGCAATTTGTGTGTTTTTTTTTTTATACAAAGCATAATTTATGCTTGATACAATAGGCTGTTCTTCAACATCTTGCATCCACCTCTCAACGTACCCGCTCTATGTGAGTCTACGGTGTAGGAGCATATCCATGAGAAGTCAACTCAACCATCCCACATGTAGCCGTCTCTCTCGGTGTGGACATCGATACGAACAAGGAACTTGTTGGTCACGGGTACTCCAACCTCCTTGCTGGGTTCCTAGGCACTGTGTTTGTACCTTTGCTGATTGCTCTTGTTGTCGCAAGTTCCTGATCTTCCTCTCAGCCCGAACTACCTTGTATACGTCAACACACTGCTGTACGTGGTACTTCAGTTTATCTTATCACGCTCTACACTGATAAAGTGGGGTAATAGCTTTTATCGTGTAGGAGGGACCACTCGCATCGCGGGCTTTCTCCTTGTTTTAGCCAACATTGCATTGCTCCTTGTAGGCACAGGACCTATTGCATATATCCGTAAGTTATCAATTTCCGCAATTATCTCAGTGCCTACACTTTGCTTCAACACAGCTGTTATGGTCGTTGGTTCACTCATATTTGTGCTTGGTATTGACCTTGTGAAGGAGGCGTTGTGGGACACCAGACATCGTGTGAGCAGGTATGTGATGCACATATTGAAATTCTCTTCGTAAGAATGATGTCATGTCCTATATCACAGATCCGAGTATATCACGATTATCAGCATTATGATATGCATGACGGCGTGGGATTTCGTGATTGGTGTGTTGTTTGGAATCGTTATTAGTTGTGAGTCTGCGCCAGTTGCGTTTTCTTCTGTAGAGAATGGATTCATCTGTATACTCATCTTCCTGTCGTGATGTCTACAACAGGCTTCTTTTTTGTAGTCCAAAATTCCCAGCGAAAGAGCATCCGTGCCTGTTACACGGGGGACACAGCAGTGTCTACCGTTCGCAGGCCAGCAGCGCATCGAGCGTACATACGTGAGGCGTCCAAGCAAACCATGGTCCTTCGTTTACAAGGTAGCGCCTGTCAATTTGCATCAGTTTCATAAATGTTCACACACTCTTGACAGGTTTTCTGTTTTTTGGAACTATTGCTCACGTTGAAGATACGATACGATCATTTGTCGATGACCCTGCGTGGAAGCTCAACCCCGTGCGTTTCGTTGTGGTCGATCTCTCCCTTGTCGCTGGTGTGGATATGTCCTCTGCCGAAGCTTTCGTCCGAGTACAGCGCCTCCTAGCCGCAAAACAAGTTGTGCTCGTATTTTGCGGTATTCACATTGATTCACCAATCATGAAAGCACTCCAAAGCGTTGGTGTGCTAGGGGAAGATTACGTCGAAGTTTTTGAACTCTTTAATGATGCTATGGAATGTAAGTATAGCCGCACTTCTTTAACGTAAACTGATTACAGTTTACGTGCATTAGGGACCGAAAATGCATATCTACGTGTGTGGTTCAGGTCTCAGAAAATGGAAACCACCCCTGTCGGTAAGTTTTCAAAATTGTAATCGCATATTTCCAGCGCAGTGACGGATTTGCCCCAGTCCTTCCCGGAAGGCAGGACGTTGGTATCGGTATGGATCACTCTTTTGCTAGCTCACCTAGACACCTTCAGCTTCGCGACTTGGGTGATCGTACCATCGCACAAGGTGATTGTCGGATTTCACGAATCGGCCAACCCTGAATAACGATATAGCCGCAGACTTTTTAAGTCCAAATACGACTTCAGAACCTCACAATACGCTCATAAAAGCCTTTTCATCTTATGATGAAGTCAATTTAGACATCATTCGCAAACTCGCACCCTATTTCGAGCGTATGTCCGTACCTGAAGGGCTTGTGCTATGGGACCAAAATGACCAGCCCGATGGGCTATATATTATTGAGTCGGGCGTACTACGTGCAACGTATAAGTTTGCCACGCACACTCCTGATATTGAGCAGTCTATGGTTCCTGGGACCTTGGCTGGAGAGCTTTCTGCTTTATCGGGGATGCCGCGCAATGCGAGGGTAGTGGTGGAGCGGCAAGGAGTGCTGTGGAAGCTTAGTACAGACTACAGGCAGAAATTGGAAAGGAATGACCCACAACTAGCACAGATATTTGTGCAGCTCGTGCTCAAGGGTGCGTCCACCTTTGGTTTCATTACTCGTTGCTTTGGATTGAGTGCGTGTCTCATTTTTTATAGCTGCAAAGATAGACAACGACATTCTGCTAGCAGCGCTAGCAACGAGGCAGTGAGATACTACATCACGAAAATTTACGAAGACCTAGTGGTAAATTATGGCTTTTTTAAATTTTGATTACGATACCAGTTACCAGATCTAAACCTTTATATCATAGATAGCGTACATATGAGCGTACAGTCTGAATGCTACATCGATAAACATGTACATAACAGTAGGAAAAAACAGTATTTTCAGGGGTAGAGACGCGCATCTCGATTTTGTATCTCTCGTAGAACTTGTTGGAAGCGAAGCGACCACCATCCACGCTGCTCCCTCTCCTGCTGTGTGAAGTCGCCAGCATGGCCTTGCATGGCCTCATGAATCTGAGCGGATGGACTTTTTGGAAGTGGAAGTCCTGAAGCAAGGATCGAAAGAACTGGTTGACGGTCGTACGGTTCTGAGTATGGATCAGGGCCGTGAGCCAAGTAAGTCCTTCCATGTGATGGAAGCGATAACGACTTGAGAGTGGACTGACAAGACTGCTGGAGAGGAGATAGCCAATTCCTTAACGTACGACGCAGCGAAGAAGATCCCTGGACGTCGTTCCGAGTGTCATCGGAAGGCCAGCCGCCCTCAGGAGATAAAGAGACAGTCATCATGGATGGGCTGTCTTCAATCACACCCGATTCAAGCTCTTGAACAGTCAAAGGAAGAAGGTCAAGGGTAATGGTGGGATGGTGGTCTGCAGTAAAACATCAAGTATGTAACACAGCCACTATAGAAGAAAACTTACCTGTCCCATCGCAAACAGCGAACACTCTGGATATTCCTAGCCCCTCCAGTAAGCGGAAGTTTACGGCTTCGTCCTTCTGAACTTGGCGACTCGATGAATGACGACGATTGATAGGTGATAGAAGGAGGATAAGATCAGTAAAAACGAAGACTTGGATGCTTTCAAACCTAGTCTCGGAAAAGCTAGTGATAGATGGAGCCTTGTCACGATAATTATAGGGTAATGCCATCTGGATATCGAAGGATGAAGAGGCTGTCCTAAACGATTTCAAGGATGTTGCTGTCGAGGTTGTCGATCTCACCGATCCAGATCGTCCACGGCGACCTTTCACCGCATTGACTAGTTTCGTATTGCGCCCTGCCAGCTCACCGCATCGACCAGATTTATCATTAGTGGCTTGGAGAGTGATATCCATCACAGTAGCTGAAGAGTCAAAGGAGTCAATAGTAATTGGAGGTCTGTCGTCGGTAGTAATCCGAGTACAGCGCAAAGAACCATGCATCAGGAGTCGTCGTTCACGTTTTGCTAGCCTTGCTGACTGTAGACCTTGGATACGAGAAGAGATCTCCTTGACAAATTCGTACTCGTCTTCTCGATCCTTCACTTCACTAAGAACACGGATTACGAGATTCAAGGAGTGAAGCACTGAGAATGCGGAAAGGTAGTCTGGGTGCTTTTTTGGTGTCAATTTCCACAAACGCTTAATGAATATGTTAGACTTTCCTCAAAGTTCCGTGCTATAATTAAAATTACTTACTCGAAAGAATTCGGGGTACTGCGCCAAACGATTTACAGGCTCAACCAAGTACTTTTCCAAGGTCCAACCATTACATTGGCTAGAGCTCTCTTGGATCTTGACGAAATCACCGAAATCGCTGTCTTCGTCAGTGACAAATTTTTCGATCAAACTTGCTACGAACTCCAGTCTCACGAGATACGGCTGGTAGATTTCGAGCCTTGGGACAAATGGCCTGATAGAGCTAGACATAAACTGTAACATGGGAGTTTGAGCATTCCGCCCATCAAGCAAAGCGGACAATAATTGCGAGTGTAGGTGGACAATATCTTCCAGCCAATCGAACAGGCGTGCAACGTCTGATGGAACGCCGCTAACCCACATTTTGCTACGCTGTATTCGTAAAGGGCGAATGAAAATGCGAACCATGGTCTGCATCTGGGTCACAAATACAGTCTCCGTCTGCGTCAGCTCCCAGATAACCTCTTGGCGCTGCATCTCCTCTTCCCCATACTTTGTCGAAAGGGTGTCTCGAAATGTCTCCCATGTCTCCCAATCCTGGGAAGAGTTACGTGAGTGAGAGCTTTCCGTCTGTACTGACTGTCGGCAAGACGATGTTTGAGATAACGTATACGATGGACATGAGCTATGCGAAGTAGACAATTCTGAGCTTTGCGACAAATCGTTGCTTTGAGTATAGCGATGATTACGCTCAGATGAGAGCCGCGGTTCATAACCCCCTTGGCTGTGTAGGTATTCTTCGGAGCTTTCCTCTGCTCGAGCCTGGTCACCTAACTGTTTAAAAAGAGAACCTGCGGTAACAGTGAGATCGTTACAGTCTTCCTGCCAAAAATCGCTGTCTAAAGAAGACATGTTACTATCAGCATGAGTGAGTTCTTCTCCTTGTGCATCTGCACCATAGCCTGAGAGTGATGGCGGTATGCCGAAGGCTTGTCTTTCACGAGTCGCCGCTGCACTAGTTATAGCCATGAGACGCGACAGCTCAGAAGAATATCTATGTGCGTCGGTTTCATTCATCTTATTGGGGGGACCGTCACCGTCGTCCGAAGCAAAAGATAACGGACCTGACATCTGATACACCGAGTGGCGCTTTAAAGCTGGAGGAACTGCGACGCCTGGGCCGTGTCGGATGATGGGTGACCTTGAATTAGCACGCAAAGCGTGCATGTCGTGTTCCACGTAGCTAGAAACTAATCAGGTGTAGTAAGTTTATGAAACAAAATTGCTAATGGACGTGAAGTGTGCTGGCGCTGACCTTGTTGTTCATATGAACATTCACTAGTACTATCTGTCGATACCACAAACCGCGGTATAGCCCCGCCTCGCGGTGTCCCATCGCCACACTCTGCTTCACTGACATTCGCATCTGCACGCTCATCGTCATCTGATGAATACTCAGATACAGATTCATTGCCGTCGTTGGACAGATCTCGTTCATCAACGCTGGCGAGTCCTGCGACGAACTCACCCGAGGCAAAACCATCTTCTCCAAAATAATTACCCTCTTCGTTTTGTGTATCATGTGGTCGTGGTTCAAAATACGATCTTGTATCTGGGCCATCCACGATACCTCTTAGAGCTTCTTGACGTTTGGTATTGGTCTCCACAGCTTCCGAGTTCGCGAGAGACGCCCTCGTCCTCACTTGTTCCATATCTATATCCATATTGAGTGTGCTTGATTGTACTTGTTCATCACGATCAGCGATACTTGATCTGAAACCAGCGCGAGAGCTATCAGGTTCATTGTTTTTTTCGTCTGGTGTCCGTAAGCCCGCATCAACGAATATACTCTTGAACTTCGTGCTGTAGTCCGCAAATCCAAATCCTAGCCCAAACCGGCTTTGCTTCTTTTCAACTTCGTCAACTAGTCGATGCTGACGAACTGAAAACGTGGGCAATTTTGACTTCTTGTCCGGGGCTCTCTCAACCTGATTACTCTCAGAGCTCGACGAAGGCGTGACAATGCCATTCGTAATTACCAACTTCCTGCGCTCCCTCATCTCGACTTCAAATCTACTCTCAACCTCAGAGTCATTATCTTGCATGGACGATTTTTTGGATGAGCTGTAAGGGCCAGGCGTTGACGGATAGGCAATGCGCCTCGGAATGTTTGAGCTCATAACGTTCGGCTGAGGCGTCAATACTACAGAATGTCCAGACAAAGTCGGATGTTTTGGGACAGTACCAGGATCTGTACGAGAACGAGCCCTTGATGTACGACGAGCAGGCTCGACACTGTTAGCCGCCAAAGGCGTCTTTACAGACGACGACGACGACGACGACCTTCCATCACTAGTGCCTTCGTCCCGTTTTCTGTCATGTGAAATTGAGCAAGCCTGGGTGGACGGTTTCTTAGTGGCGTTAACGCCAGATTTCCTTGATCGAAGAGACATGTCGTGAGACCCTGCAGACGCAATAGCGGCAGAGCTAGAACCCGATCGACGGCTTTGGGTATGGCTGAATGCGGGTGATTGGAGGTGCGGTTTTAGAATGGGCTTTGGTTTTAACTTTGGTGTAGGTGGGTTCACACGCATGGATGAGGTTGTAGAGTCAACGCTTCTCGCGGGATCATGGTGGATATGGTTCATTGGCGTAGACTGGGAGTTGCGCGAATGCTGGCGCGAGTCGGATGAGTTTGCGAGTGAAGAGCAGGAAGAGATGGAGGAGCAATTGGCAGATCCCGTACGATCCGCATCGACGCCGCCAGAAGCCAACGATGGAGAGAACATGCCTGAAGGAGGCCTAGTCATGCGATCAACGGTATCCCGTAGAGATGGAAGCAGCTGAGCTTCTAACATGCCCAAGCCCTCGATTTGGCTCTTGCGCTTACTGCGGACAGACTGAATAGACAAGCGATTCGCACGAGCTGATGGTGCATCGTGATTGAACGAATTGGGACTGAAAGACGAGGCCTCTGAAGGCGATGGATGCCCTGAGTGACCAGTGGGCGTGGTCATGTTTTTCCAAGATGGGCTGAGTGCACTGGAGCTGGACATCGAGTTACCACCATTTGCTACAGCTTCTTTAATATCATATGAAGGTCTATTGACGTTGACAGGATACGGTATGCCAGCGGCAGCAGCATAGTGAGATGGTGGCAGGAAGGGATGAGGAGATCTGGGTTGAAGACGGGCGGGAATTGCTGGCGAGCGGGTTTTTGTTCGAGAACGAGAGTGCGACATGGCGACGACGTTAGTGACCTTGAACGTTCCACCCAAAGTAGGAACGCGTTTATATCACGTGCATTGATTTTCTACTTACCTTTTTAGGATGCCTCTTTCTTGCCAGTTATCAGCGAATGAAACTCACTCCAAAAAACTCACGTAATTTATACAACAAACAGCTAGTGATTTGCACTAGGTTTTTTTGTCAGTTTCAGCAAATTATGATAGAAAGGTCCACCCACTGATCATAGGAAGTAAAGAACTTGAAATCAAAAGCGGATGTCCAATACAACACTAATGAATTACATACCAAAACAGTTGTGCTCGACATTATTCCTTCAGTTTTCAGTTCCCAGCCTTGCGTTAAGCCATCTCGCAACCTCTTCTCCCCACTCCTCTCCTTGACCAGACCCTAATGCCCAATTAGGGCTGATATGATTATGAGCCTCGCCAACGATCTTCTTCACTTGTTTACCAAGCCGTCTTTCTAGGTCTTCTTTAAGACACGCCCCCGTCATCTTTAGCCAACCCGGCTCTCTCTCCGCCTCGACCAAAAGTATCTCAGGAAGGGCCTTCACCTCCTCATCCGATAGCAAGTTAAACAAAGCTCTTGGCTCTCTCTCCCGCATCAGCTCTGAAGCACCAAAATAAAATCTCAGCGGACCCTTCTCCAAATCAGTCCCAGGAGGATTGAAGAACCATGCACCAGCACTGAATATCAAGCCCTTCAGGGGAGGCACAGTCGGCCGAAGATCGGGATATAGAGTCATGATCTTGAGGTGAACAGACCCAGCAGAATGGCCCATGACGAACATGTATTCAACGTCTGGTTCTATGGACGGGGTGCTAATTGTCTGTGCATTTTTCGATACCCAGGTTATAGCATCACGGACATCCTCAGATGCTGCGGGGAAACGCACTTCGGGGACGAGACGATAGTCGGGGATGATCGTGATGAAGCCTCGCTGGGCGAAGAAGGAGCCGAGGGAGCGATAACCCATTGAGTATGGTTGTGGCAAGATACGTGAGCCAGTGTTGAATCCACCTCCGTATATGAAGAATAATATGGGCGTCTTTGCGTTAGCAGTAACAGACGGTTGGTTAGGATAGTAAACGTCTAACTTTGAGCAACGAAACACTGTAAGACTATAGGTGACACTTTGACAAGAGGAACGTACGTAATGTCTATAGCGTTCGCCATACTGAAATTCCTTCTTCTCGATCTTTTCTATCTCAGTCCTCCTCTCTTCCAACAGTGGGACAAATGCACTAAGGGCTGTCCGTGGGATAAGATAGAGATGCAAGGGATGAGAAGTAAACCGTACTATAGAGTGAGATTTTCCCGATATCCGTCTCCTTGTTCTTTGCGACGAGGTCCATTGTTAAGTTCGATCAACAAAAAAAGTGAGTAAGAGTCAGAACAAAGTGAACAACTTCAACGAGTGGACGACCACTGTTCTGAAAGCACTGCAAATTCATAGATATGGTTTGATGCCATATGGGCGGTCAATTCTGGGACCCGCAATTATCCGAATCACCATCAACTGGTCATATGTTTTTACGGTGTTTATAAATAGCCCTATGGGCATCCGGTACCCACATCAGGAAATCAAGGAGAGTCTTAGAGCATGTATAGTCTCCTATAAGCAGACCATCGATCCGGAAGGGAGAAGTTCCGGAAAAGAAGGTCTGCCGCGGTTGGCGAGGGTTCAGGCCTTTGGTCTCAAGCCATCGGCGATAACGGTTTTATGATGTACTTTACCTTAGTAATACAAACACGTGCTGAAAATTGTGGTATGGCGCTGCGATAAGATCAAGAGATCAAGCCCCTATTGAGAGAATCTACTCTCATAACGAAACATGGCGGACAATGCTCATTGTCTCGGTCATACAATTTCAGTCCCTAATCTTTCTAGTATTCCTCCATTCCCTCAGACACCAATATCAACCCCTATCAGCTCAGCTCGTAGCCACTCTGAGTCTCAATCATTGCCCCTTTTCTTTCAATCAACTCCCCACCCCATTCCTTACTCAACCCAACACACCTACACCATCAAGGCCAACGCCTCAAGCTGGTTCCCAGCATAAAACACGTCAGCAGAAAATACAACTCATTTTAGATGTAATTGATAAACAGGCTCACTGGACTTTTGCTCAATTATTGCATGAGGTTTTCTGCATGAAAGAAGATGATGGTATTAAGATCTCTCGTAGCCGCCAACACGCTAGTGCAGTGAGTTGATTTCTAGGGGGCCGCAACTCACATTTACCCGCCCATATCTTGCAATTATGGTTCAATCATCCTGATGGTTGTCCGAAACTTAATCAAGACATCAGCTCGAACACTATGTACTCACCAGAGACTCCTTACCTAGCTATTAGATTCTTCGATTATGACTCGTACTCGAAGGTTCAGACAGTTCAGGTTAGGTTGCGAGGTGGTTGTAGCTGTCGAGAAGAAGAGGAAGCGATAGTGACCAGATTACCCCCCACTAAGGAGAGAGGGCTAGGTAATTTCGCAAGATGCTAGGTTAAGTTAACCTAGCTATTAGATCCTTGGATTACCACTCGTACTCAAAGGTTCAGACGGTGTCATGCACCAAAGTTGATTGGTAGCATGGACAGGTGTCAATAACAAAGCGAATATTCAAAAAGACTCGCCTTTGCGCCACACAGGCACAGTGCCATGTGGAATAGTAATTAATATTGCCCTTTTTGAACTTGTGGCTGATCAGCACCACCTCTATTAGGCAATCCAGTCACGCTCACCTTTGCTTTTCCATCCGGTACTTTCCGCATTTCGGCATTTCGGCAAATTTTTGCGTCGCCACTGGCTACACATTGCATTGCGCCCTCGCTTTTGTCGTTTCCCTTACTCCCCTTCCTTTGCCTAGCCCCACCATGGGCCCCTTCCTCTCCTTTTTATTCTCACCCGACGGTCGTTTCTGGGTCCCCATTTTAGTTCACCTCCTCGTCACCTCCACCCTCCTCCTCCTCATCTTCTTTGCACCCCCACCATTTCTGATGTCACCACTTCCTATCCGCTTCCGTCGCCGATCCGTTGACTACCACGTGCCACTGCTGATATCAGCAAAGCCCCGGCGGCCGGTCCAAATAGGGCAACAGGTCCATCTTCATGACGTCGATCTGCCATCATATACTATCAAAACATCGGTCGCTCGTCTTGCCTGGTTGGAGCGTGGGTGGGTAGTTTTTGAGCTGGAGAAGGTTCATCCCCTTGCGTCGCCCATGTTCATCGCTGTCCCATTCACTTGGGTACACTTATCATTTGTCCATCGTCTTCGCTACAGCTACACCTACCACACGCTGCCTGGGACTCACTTGTTCCAAATTGGAACTACTCCTCTCCCTCCCTCGTTTGATCAGGTGGTCCAACACAACCAGTCCATTGGTAAGGCCATGGAACTGTCAGATTTGGACTAGGTGGTGGACCGGTGGCTCCAGTTTCTTTTTTTTCAGCAGAACATTCATTTACAGTGCGATTATTTTTGATTTTTGAATCATTTTTATGGACACATATTTTTTTAGAATGCCTGACTGACAATAAAGGAACTGTGTTGATACTGATAGTGTTTTGCCTTGCTCTTTTTTTACTGCATCTTCCCATGACATCATGATTTTCCTGCTCTCTTTTTGCTATTGGACTTTACTTTATGGCTGTACAAACCTGTGATATTACTCACAGCATTTATTGTTCTATCCCTTTCTTTTCTTTTTTTGACAATCTTATCCTGTACTACCTACGCAGGATTTGTCAGCGTACATTCCTTCCTTCATATTCTTTCTCATTCTTTTTGCACAGCTATACTGTGCATAGCCTACTTCTCTTTTACTATATAAACCCCTGTATTTTACCTTGTAAAAACAACAAGAACTCGATTCCAGACTTCTTCTCTAATCTTAAGTCCACTTCTTACTGCTACTTGTGATCCAGTGTGGTCACAACACTTCCCACTTCTACCACTGTTAACTGCTGTCATCGTCACTCGTCACTTTTGAAAGTGATTGTCATCCCTTTCGATTAGAGTCCTTCTGAGCACTACAGTTTGTGCGTCAGGAGCCTGCTATCACTGGGAACCTCGTCACCTCGTCATCCTCATTGTTCTCAAACCTACCTTGTGCTACGATTAGCAAGGTAGTGCTCGTCTATACTCGCCACAAACCCCCTATCTTTCTATAAATTCAACTATCCCTCCTCCTCAAAACCCACACTCATACACCACTGGGTTTTACTTTGAAGGATCTTTATACGTACCACCCCACGAACAACCAGACCACTCCACTGTTCTAGGAGGCAAAGCCCATAAACAAGTTCCGTGGAATCTGGGAGGATTGTGTGTTAGTTTGTTTTGTGTGTGGTTTTCTAACAACAGTTCTCATCATCGACAATTGGAGCCCACCGCGAGGGGTGGTTTCCTTCAAGCTAAATACCAACCATTTCATCGCCATCACTGTCTAATTTATCATCTACACCTTCTATCTCACCCACTGCTTTATCTGTCCCATCCCTCTCTTCCAGTAACTCAATTTCTGTACCAGCTTCTACTCAGCAAGCTTCGCGTTTACCCCCTATACTTTTCACTATGAATCAACCTACTACTCTCTCAGTCATCACTATGCCAATTCCTGGCACTCGTTATGCTCCTAAGAAGTTCAAGGGAGACTATACTCGTGTCAGGGATTTTGTTCTCCACTATGAGCGCATCTGTCATGCAAACAATGTCACTGCTGACGATGAAAAATGCTCAAGCATTCTCCAATACTGCTCCACATATGTTCGCGAAATTATTGAAGGAATGAAGCACTTCATTACGCCCTCATGGAACAGTCTCAAAGACGAAATTCTCCAGTACTTTGATGCTGCAAAAGCAGAGGCCAAATTTAAAGAGCATCATCTTAAACAGCTGGTCGATGCTTCGCACAAGAAGAAAATGGGCTCTCTGGACGATTTCAAGAGCTACATGAGGAAGTATGTTCGTGTTGGAGGATGGCTTCTTGCCAAATCCAAAATCACTCAGGACGTATTCAATCGCTTCTTCTGGAAAGGACTACCCAAAATCCTTCGTCATCGCGTTGAAAATAGACTTCTACAGAGAGATCCTACCCTTGATCTCTCCCAGCCTTTTGTCTTTGATGATGTTGTCAAGGCTGTAGAGCATGTCCTTCGCAGAGATCGCTTTGATGATGAAGATTTTGACTCTGATGATTCGGATTCAGACTCGGATTCAGAAAACTCTTCCAGTTCTTCGGACAATTCTTCTGACTCTGACAAAGAGGAAGAACCACCTCGTTATATCAGGAAAACCACCAAGCAGAAGAAAGACAAAAAGCGCACCTCTGAGACAGAGAAAGAGAGAAAGTTGTTGAGTCCTTCCAAGTCGAAGAAAACCCTTCACTCTTTAGACGAAGAAGAGCACACTGCTGTCAAACAGGATGAAGTAGAAACCCTTATCAAGAAGTTGGGTTCTATGACAATTGAAGATCCTAACTATCCTCTGCTCTACTATCGTGCTATCAAGCTTGACACTGATGCTCGACTTATACTTCACCCTCCCACTTTCATGAACCAGTCAGCCAGACCATCTCGATCCTCTCAAGGAAGCAGCAACTTACCCACTCAGCCTACTGCTCCACCCACTGCCACTCTGCCTACAGCACCTCGTGTTCCCTTCCTTTGCTATGGATGCGGAAAAACTGGTCATGGAGTCAATGAATGTGCAGATATGCTTGACTTACTGTCAAAGGGAATTGTCAAGAAGGATGACACTGGTCGCTTTGTCATGTCTGATGGGTCTAGAATCATGCGATCAAGAGAGGAACCTATAGCAACTGCTGTACATCGCACTATCCCCAAGTCTAACCTCCTCACTACGACTTCTTTTATGTCCATTGCTGAAGTAGCTGACTCTGATTCTGATTCAGATGAAGAGCCTGTCTATGCAGTGGATCGTCCAGACAGAGTGTCTAAGGAGAAGCGCAAGCAAGTCTTTGATGGTGTCTACATTCCTCCTAAACCAGATTGGGCCAAAGCTGTAAAAGGAAAGAAGAAAGAAGAAGAGAAGCCTGCCGTTCCAACCATAGCACCTGCCCCATCAAAGCCACACATCTTTGATATTGCACAGCCTATCTTTGATCCCACTAATGACGATGTAATCATGGAAGATGCTTCCCAAAACACCAAGAAGAATCCCCCTGCCGATAAACAGAAGAAACAGCTCAAGACTTCATCTACTCTTTCACAGAATCTTGACTCCAAAGCCATCATTGATCAAATTCTCAGCACCCCTATCCCACTATCTATTGGTAATGTCATTGGTCTATCAAAAGAAGTTTCCCAGAATCTCCAAGAAATGATGAAACCCAAGCGCGTTAATTTTGGAATAGACAACAAGCCCCAAAGCTTGACAGCTGAATCACTTCTTGCCATCACTCATGCCGACCTCATTCGTGTCCCTGTTACCTCTAATGGCGAAACTATTTCAGCAATTGTTGATTCAGGG